CATACATACATACATACATACATACATACATACATACATACATACATACATACATACATACAAGCATATAGATACAAACTCAACTCAACTCAAAAATACTTTATTAATCCCAGAGAGAAATTATTTGTTGTTGTAACTCATTATCCTCATTTCATTAAGAGATGTTATAGATACTGATGGCTGTAGACAGGAAGGATCTCTTGTAAAAGTGGATCCTAAGTAACTGGCTGCAGATGCCGTCTGATCCGTCCACCCAGACTCGGCTGGCATCTCGGTTCCCCTCGGGCTGTAGGACCGCCCAAATGCCGGGCAAAACTCCTCCCAGAGCGATGGCCACTCCTCCCAGCAGTCTGCCGAGCTCCTCGTCACTGCGGACAGCCAATTGTAGGTGCTGAGGGACGATCCTGTCCTTCCGCTGTCACGAGCCGTGTTTCCTGCTAGTTCCAGGATCTCAGTGATCAGGCACTCGAGCACAGCTGGCAGGTAGATGAGAATGCGTCCACAGAACATCCTTTTCAACTCATTTGAGATTTGGGGCTGTAGTTGAGATATTATTTGAACTTTTGAGATGTTAATCAGCTGCTGTTGGTTGTAGAAAACAGCTTTGTTGCCATAGTTACGCATCATAACAAATGTCCAAAAATAAAAAAGTTTCAGTAATAATCCTTCCAGCTGCACAGCATCTGATACCAGAGGAAACAACCATCCAAAAAATGTGATTTACATCCAGAAAAAGAGGAATTAAAGTTTCCAAAAGCAAAATCTCAAAATGAAAGTAACAGAGCTGCTCCAACATGCAGCCACCTTGAGCGGCGCAATTCTAAAACACTAAAACACACATAAAATTAGGTATATAAATATATATATATATATATATATATTACTGTACATACATACTGTACATACAAAGACATACATACTTCATTGGTCCCGCGGGGGGGGGGGGGGATTTGAGACACCCAGTAGCATGCTCTAATTATACAGAAAATAGACACATATGAAATAATCAAAAAAGAAGCAGAATACACAGATTTGGAAAAAGATAATATGCACTTATCGAAACCTGGCTGGGGGGCCATTCTGGGTAGAGCTTGCATGTTTTCATCGTGCATGCATGGGTTTTCTCTTCTGAAAAGGAAGACGTGGGTAAAAGATAATGGTCGGTTGTACAGTCTTGTTCTATTTACTAACTCTGTTTTGTCTCTGCAGAGTACTGATGGTTAAAATAGGTGAGGATCTGTCCAGGAAAGATGTGGAGGAAATTAAATTCCTACTGAGCAACATTATACCTCGTGAGAAAATGGAACGCTCTAAGGTATGACAATGAAAGAAGCTGATGGGGGTTAATGGCCTACACTTATTGACTTTCATTTTGTCACAAAGTTTTGCAGTTTCCTCGTTCCTCTTGCAGACGTTTTTGGACGTGATCACCGAACTTGAGAAGCTGGACTCGGTTTCACCTGAAAGACTGGACGAGGTAGAAAAATGTTTCCTCGCCATTGGCAGGGTTGATCTGGTCAAAAAATTGAATGCTTACAAGATATCAGGTGAGACTGTGTTACTAAAACTTTAAGTAATAAATATAATTAATTTATTCCTTCATATAGATTAGAATTTTGTTCTAACAAAATGTGACATCCTGTTTGCATAGTGAACAAGGAAAGAGAAACAAATTAATCTTTGATCCACACATTTGGCTAAAATGGCTCATAAACCAGACAATAATATATTGCGCCTGAAGGGATTTCTGCATTGTTTGCAGCAAAGATTATTAAGACACACAGCACTGTATGTGCAAAAGTAAAAAAACTAAAAATGAGTGAAAAAGCAGACACAGTTCTGAAGGTCTTTCAAAGTTTGTCTTTGGATTTTGACTGCTATTTCTGTCCACTACCTGGCCAGTTCCAGAGGAAAAAAATTGTATTATTAAACCTCCCAAGTCTGACTTTTGAATCACTGAAACATAAAAAGTCCCCTCAATTTAGTAAACGAATGGGTAATAATAATTGTGTAAGAGATAAAAACAAACGTACACTTCTTTGTATTTAAAAGGAGCTCATATACTTTTATTGTTTTTTTTTTCTTCAATAAATGGACTAAAATTAGTATTTCTTATAGCAAAACTGCATACTTTAATTTATTCTTTGTTTCTCATGTGTGTTTTCTACAGAGTCTTTGGCTCAACAGTTAAGATGTCAAGCTACTGTAAGTCGTCGTACAAGAGGTAATATGTTATTCTCTAAAACTTGTAGTTTTTAAAAACTGCTTCTTACTCAATCCATTGCAGGACATGTAAAACAGATGCAGTGTATTGGTAATACATTTAAAGCAATGCTATAAACCAGTGGTATATTAGGCTTCAAAGTCAAAGCTATAAAATTTATATGCTTTTATTAGCGTTGCAGTTTGCCAAGATATATATATAAACTAACAAAAGGCTAAATAAACCAGGCAGAAACTACAGTGAAAGTTATTTTACAATTGCTTTCACACTAAAATAAAGATTTTTCCACAGCTTCTTTACCATTTTAGAGCACAGACTTCTCAAACGAACACACCTACGAGTCGGCAGGTTAAACACATCCTCCAGGTGTGCAAACACACTCGTGCTCAAATGAAAACACGCCAGTCAGGTAAATCACTACGCTGATGCAGCATCTGTGCAGAAGTGGATTTGGCACATAAAGAGGCGCGTTGAGAAGTAGGGGTGCATTGGGTGCTACAGCACCGTATGTCCATTTTCAGATTAAACAGGCACAGCCAATATGCAATAACTTTGTATGGATTATGATGTCCTTCACATGGGTGTTCAGAGTAAATTCGCACATGCTCACATCACCTCACAACTCTCACAGCTGTAGGAGCTTCTTCCCACAATGCTTTGCAAATGAGGACATATCCTGAGGTTAATGAAGCCTCAGGACCAGACCCAGTTAAGTGAACTGATGCCAAGACTAAAACTTGTTCAGTGTTCCTGTACGTACTGTAATTGTGTTCTTAAACATGTTTGTCTACACAAAAAGTTTATTTTTCTCAGCTTAAAAACTGGAGCAAATTTTTATTTTGATTTCATGCTTACTGACTTGATTTAACTGTAAGAAATAAAACTTTTCATCAGTCTGCAGCGCTGATCCTGTGTAGCGCTTGGTAATTTTATTTATGTAAATTTTTCTGCGCATCACGTAGGAATTATGAGGAAAATAAAAGTACCAAAACTGTTTTGGGGTTCAGCACATCAATTGCTTAAAAAAACAAAACAAAACAAACAAAAAAAACCATATTATATAAAAGTGTATTTTGTTCAAGTTTTTAATTTAGCAATAATTTCCTGATGTTGTGCTAATTAAGTGTTGTTTTTTTACAGTCGAGACTTCTGCTGAGCTTTTGCCTCAACAGCAAAATTGTCGAGATGCTGTGAGTAAAACGGTGTACAAATGCAAAGTTTTCTCACTATTTTTCTAGAACTAAAGTTAATTTAACATATATATATATATATTTGATTTATCCAGGCACTTAAACAAAGACAACCTCAGCAGCATGTTGGTAAGATGGGCTAAAAGTTAAATTGGCGATAGGGAAATGTTACTTTTCATTCATTCATTCAACCTTTAGTTGCCGTTCGGTAAAATTCCCTATCCGGCCCACTGTAACAGATCATGTTGGATTACAGTTTGTCGCACGGGGCTTTATTGTTACCAGGTAACAATAGGAAAGCCCCGCGGGACGCTCAGATGTTTTACTTTGCTGTGCTTTTTACTCTTTCAGCAGCCAAAGTCGTCATGTCATCGCCTGTACGCAGTGGGCCAAGCAGAGGGGTAAACTTCATTCATTCATTGAACTTTTTTTTCTTTACATCTGTTATGAAGTGGTAAAAGTGTATTTATAACACGTCTGCGCTTTCTTCTTTAGAGTCCAATAGAACAGTACGACTTGAACACTAACCCCAGAGGAGTGTGTGTAATTATAGACTGTGTGGGCCATGACGGAGGTGAGACTCGAAGCCTTTTAATTAAGTGAAAGTACCAAAACAACCACAGTATGTACAATAAATATTTCAGTTGTGGGTAAGAGCTCTGATTCTAAAACCATTTTACTGTAAAAGTACAAAGCACAGCAAAGTATCAGGACTTAATAGATGAATACACCAATGCCTTAGTGTGAAATAAATCTACTTTTTACAGTCAGATGGTTTAATTTGGTCAAACAAAGTAGTGCAAATTCATCTTTATTTAGACTTCCTTTAAGAGCTGGATTCAGTGTGACCCGATAATTAGTTATTTTCAGCTTTGAGCCATTTCATTTCAACATAAACGATAAGAAGTTGAGCAGATTTTCCCATCTACAGGTGGCTAAAAGAACTTTTTAAAAAGGTGTACTACTTTATAACCTTCTTAAAGTAACTATATAAATACTTTGTTGTGTGAATGCTGAGTCAGTAATCACTTGATTATTTTCCTATATTTTAATGTAGATTTGCCATCTAACTACTTCGTCATACTTTGTTCTTTTAGGTTTTAATGTTATTTTGCTACGTTTGCTTTTAGCTACCAATTTGCTAGTTTTAGCTTTAAGCTACTGTTTTTCTAGCTTTTATCTACTATTCTGCTTTGTGTAGCTTTTAGCTCAAGTTCTGTTACTTTAACTTTTAACTACCGTTTTGCTCATTTACCCTTAAGTATTGTTCTACGTTTTTTTCTTTAGCTTTTAGCTACTAATCTAAGCAAATAGCGTTTGGCTACAATTTTGCCTATTTTAGTTACAGTTTTTTTCTAATTTTAACTTGTTTTTCTTGTTCTGCCTTTAACATTTCAGGTAAATTTTATTAGTCAAATATCAACTAAGCCATTCAGCAGTCAGCATTTGCACATTTTCACAGAAAATATGAACTTCTTTAGTTTTATTTTATTATATACTTCCATTTTTAAACAAATAGTCTCACCGAGACACGGTCTCGTTCTGCATAGAACTGTAGCGAACACAACAAAGTCCATGCTCAATAATCCAGGTATACAATCCAACATTTTTCAGTCAGTTCATCTGGACAACGAAAATACAAAACAAAAATACAGTTTAAAACAAAAACAGAAAATTCAGTACAAACTAGATGAAAATCAGAGAAAAGGCAGAACAATAAATATAAAGAGAAACATGAAATAAAAATGACTGGAAATGACAATACTTAATAACAATGAAACAAATATAAAGACAACACTATAAATACACATAAAAGCACAGTTTGTGTTGGAAAATCTCCATGTTCCATGGAAAACTGATCATTAAGTGCATGAAGTCAGAAGCTGAGCTCCACACTGAACTTCTGCATTTTTACCATTTGAATGAAAACTGAAACAAAAATGAACCAAAAATGTCCAATTGCATAATTTCTGTACATCATCAGTAAAGATTTGCTCTAACTTGATCATGTATTGATCATATATCAAAACATTCAGCTCGTTAAGGAGAAGGGTATTATATTGCTATTGGTGCAACTTTAGCTTTTTGAAATATTTAGCCTTTTCTGCCACTTTTTTTTCTTGTAGAAAATGAATGGAGCTCATTTTCCATCCTTCAGATCTTTAGATTTGTTTACAACCTTTTACTGCTCCTTTCACATTTAGTCCCTGTTCAGCTTCTTTCATCTTCCTTGTGCTAACTTAAACTTTTTTCCAGCTGTTTTGGGCTCCTTTCTGCCTTATTCTGCTAAATACAACATTTTTGTGCTTCTTTTAACTTCTTTGTGCTTATTTCAGCTTATTTGCTTCTTTCAGCTTATTTCTGCACGTTTCAACCATTTCTGCTATTTCAGCTGTTTTTATGCTAATTTTAGCTTTTTCAGCTAATTCCATATTTTTTGCACTCATTTCAACTTTTTTCAGCCCAATTCAGCCAAAATGTGCTCTCTCCTCTTCGTTTTGGTAATTTAAGCACTTCTTTCTGCTTTTTTAGCTACCTTTCAGCTGTTTTTTAATGTGCAAATGTCTGCATTTTCAAATATCTTCCACTTTCTTGTGCTCATTTCTGCTTCTTTCTGCCTAATTGGGCACAGTTGTGCTCTCTCCACTTCCTTTTGGCAATTTAAGCTTCTTTCTGCTTTTTAGCTACTATTTAGCTGCTTTTTTTCCCCCAAATAAGTTCCACTTTTTGTGCTAATTTCTTTTTTCAGCATAATTGGACAAACATGTTCTTTCTGGTTTCTTTTGCTACTTTAAGCTACCTTTTTTTGCATTCTTTTAGCTAATTTCAGATAAATTCAAGTTATTCGTGGCAATTTGTGCTACTTTCAGCTTATATAATTTCTTTCTGCTCCTTTCAGCTTTATTTTTTTTTGCTAGTTTAGAGTTCTTTCTGCCTTTTCAGCTTTTTTAGCTACTTTTTGCTTTTTTTTCTGCAAATTCTTCAGCAATAAGCATTCATGGTCTCCTCTTTTCATTCAGGACTGTTGGAGCAGACGTTCAAGGCTCTTCACTTCAAAGTTCTCCTCCTCCAGTGGCTGAGTGCTGATGACATGCTTCTATCTCTCAGAGAGATAGCTGAACAAAGAGACCACTACAGATATGATGCTTTTGTCTGCTGCATCATTAGCCGTGGTTCACAGAACCACCTCTTTGGGACGGACTTGTATTACACCAGTTTATCCATAGACACTATCAGAGGTCTTTTCACTGCTGATTCCTGTGCCATGCTGGCTGGTAAGCCAAAGCTCTTCTTCATCCAGAGGTACAATGTTGCAGAGTTAGGTCCATCTGCGAGAGCGGACTGCTGGGATGAGGACCTCGAGGTAGACGGTTGTGACGGACAGCTAACAACTGATAAAATCCCCACAGAAGCAGACATATTCTGGAGTCACTGCTGGACACATGAACGTCAGCTAAACCAAGCGCAACACCACTCCATTTATCTGAAGGCCCTGGCGGACGCCTTGCACAAATCCCAAAGGAGGTACAAACACTCAAGAGTGAGGAACATTTTAGTTCAACATCATGTCACGCTGTTCAGCTAACGGTTTTTTCTCGTCCTGACAGGAAAACTAGTCTCGTTGATGTTCACACGGAGATGAACGGGGCCATCTTTGAGCATAACAAAAGAAATCCTGGAGCAGCTTACCACATTGATGTGAAACACACTTTAAGGAAAAATCTTTTCCTAGAATAGAGAAGTTACAGTAACGTCATTATGCCTATAACCCCATTACACTCACTTAAGTCCAAACCTTTGCCAAAGAAGAACATGTTTTATGTAACTACACTGACCCCTGCTGGTTATTTTATGCACCGCACCTTCCAATGAAGAACAAGCTTTTTATTTAACCAGTTTCATTTAACCAGTTTCTTATACTGTATATTTATTTTATATTTATTGTTTTTTGCCTATTCTGTATGTTTTTTTACATATAAGACTGAAAAATAGGCCTACCTGAAATATGATCCAAAACTTATCGATGAGTATCAGCAAAATGCAGATATTTTAAGAGTAAATGAGTAAAATGTAAATGAAGAAAACACACGTAAGTTTTTGTTTGACAGCATTAACTACATTGCTGTGTACAATCCCACAATGTTGAACACAATTCTTTCATGTTTCATGCATTTTAACACTTTTTATATGCCATTTTATATTAAATATAAACAATAAATCATGTCTAAATAAGCATCACAGATTTATTTATGTAGAACTTTGGTCCCTTAAAACTGGAGACTGAAAGTAAAAGAGACATTAGGAAAAAATGTTAGTTTTATCGCAAACGTTTTCAGTTCAGACTTTTTGTAATAAGTAGACGTCAAAATTAAAGAACACTATTGATATTTTGAGAGGTTTTATTCAAAGTCTACAGTTATATTCATAATAAATGTTATTTCCGGTCTGTTTTCATTTGAATTGAAGATATATATGTTAAAATAATAAGCAAATATCAACAGAAACAATTCAAGGGGATTTAAGGTTCTTTATTGTCATTCACATCACATGTGGTACTTGAGGGGTAACGAAACGATGTACACAGGGTCCCAGTTACATCCAACAACAATACAAATTGTAAAGAAATACAGTAATAAGATTCAAGACATGAACTAAGAAATACACTATTATAACTGGTAATTATACCTGGTATTGGATTCTGAGAATTTTTATTAAATGTATAAAAGTGTTTTCAACACAACTACTATGCATTATGCAAAATCATTGCTTAACACTCCTGCTACCCTTGGGTCAAAATGACCCACTTTGTTCCAACTTTACATATACACACATATATATATAT